TAGTGGAGAACCCGCAGAAGCTCAGCAATCGCAGAACACAGGACCAGTTAAAAGCGCGGAATTATTTTGTGGAGAAAAAGAAGTAAGCAAATATGGCAGACCCAGTAATGATTTACAACATCTTAGGTGATCTACTTCTTGTTTTCTCTGTGTGAGCTTCATCTACATGCTATTTTTTATCTTTTTTGTTTTGTTTAGAGATGCCGCTGTCCTACGTATTTATCAACGTCGCAAACCCAGTCCACAAGTCTTCGCATACTTATGCACACTGCAAACGGAGTGGTGGAAGAAGTGTATTCAAAGGGTCAGATTTTGTGGTTCTAAATTGTCAGAAATTTTTGCTTGTTTTTTCTAGTTGAAAGGCGATCTTTTCCTTAGCGATCCTGCTAGATTAGCGCACGTATGTGTGGTCCTTCAGAACGAACTACAGATAAAGCTGAACGCATGCCATATGAAGTGAGAATGACCTGCAAGCACACAATATATCTAAAAAAATTTAATTTTAGTGCCTGCAGGAAAGAAGCAACATCCAACTGGGAACCACCTTGGAACGCAATGTACTGGCTAGCAGTGGTTGGAAAGATTGAGAGAATGAGCTGGGGTGACGCGGACAAAAGAAAGAAAGTTCTGGATTACTTTAACAAAGAGGAAATACCAAGCGCGACCAAGTTCTTTTCAAGGTCAAAACTGTAATTTTTTTACTGTTCAAAACATTTGCAGGGGGTACTGGGGAAAAGCACAGCCGCGGATATAGACAAACATCCCAGATTTCCTGCGTAGGCGGCCTGACGGTAGCACTTTTCTGCAGGTTCAGAGTTCATCTATACACATTTACTGCTGTCAAAATGTTGTGACGGTACGTAGGAAAGTTATAATGTTTTGGACCTAGAAACAAGTTGTGTTATTGCAAGAAATCGGAATGGGTTGTCCGCACTATTAGCTGACGGAATCCACAATTGAACACAAGGAAAAGCAGAAGGGCTACCACTAATATGGAACGAGGCCAGCTCTACACGGTACACGCAGTGCGTAATAGGGGATTTGAGGTGACAATATGGCAGCATCTATTCTTGACGTTGAAAAGAATGTTCAGATGCCGCTGCTGTTTGCAATGATGCGGAACAAAAGGGAGGAGGATTATCTCGATGTTTATGCAAAGTTAAAGGAAGTACTCCAGAATGCTAACTTCGATGGGGAGTCACAGCTGCGGATAGTTCTAGACTATGAATTGCTACAGTACTCCTTTTTTGAAATAACTAAAACTCATTCAAATTTTTTAAGGCTGCCATAAATGCTGCTAAAGTGAATTTTCCTCTCAGCTCTGTCGAAGGGTGCGCTTGGCATATATCTCAAGCATACGTGCGAAAAAGAAACGCGCTGGGGCTTACTCGATATTTAAAAGGACGATGCAAGTCTTCGAGTTCGCTTCGATGGTGCAGAACCATCAAAGGCTTGCCGTTCCTCCCCCGCGAGCATTTGGCATTGGTCCGAGCTTTGGGATCGTAGGAAGAAATCATACAGCCTACCAGCCATGTCTGAATTTCCTAGCCTATTTTGAAGACTCCTGGCTAGGAGGACCTTTTTCTACCATGTGTGCAAGCATATGGAGCGGGTGCAGCGCACCACAAAT